TGTTTTCCTGTCTGCTGTGCATGTTTGTTTCTTTTGTACAGCAGACAGGAAAACATAAAATAGAAATACAGATACAAATAGCAGCAGAAGCTAACTAAAATGGCCAACAGAGTAGAGAACAGACCGGACCAAAACAAATCACACCGTGTTAAAGGCAAGCGAATAGAAGTGGGTCTTCAAGCGAGACTTAAAGACTGAGAGTGTGGGAGCCTGCCGGACACTCAGTGGCAACTCATTCCACAGTCGTGGACCTGCAACAGAGAAAGCCCTGTCACCTCTGAGCTTACGACGGGTTTCTGGGACTGAGAGAAGCATCTGGTCTGCTGACCTCAGAGAGCGCGGTGGGACATATGGCTGCAGAAGATCAGTGAGATAGGATGGGGCGGAACTGTTCAGTGATTTAAAAACATACATGAGAATTTTGAAATGGATCCGAAGGTGAATGGGTAGCCAGTGCAGGGAGGCCAAAACTGGCGTGATGTGCTCTCTATAGCCTGTACCAGTTAAAAATCGGGCTGCAGCATTTTGGACCAGTTGTAGACGAGCAATGGAGGACTGACTGATTCCAAACAGAAGTGAATTGCAGTAATCAAGCCTAGATGTTATGAAGGCGTGGATCACTGTCTCGAGGTTCTTTTTGTTGAGTATAGGCTTCAGCTTAGACAGCCGTCTCAGCTGAAAAAAACAGGATTTGACCATCATGTTTACGTGATAGGATAAATGGATAGGTCATATCATTTGAAGTGGGCTTCTGTGGAAAGGTTCTCAACAGTTAATTTCTTAGGTCTTAAACCTTCAAGAGCTATATTATATTAAATTAAATTATATTATATTATCCATCCATCCATTTTCTTTACTCGTTTATTCCATTTTGGGTCACGGGGGTCGCTGGTGCCCATGTCCAGCAATCACTGTGCGAGGGGCGGGGTACACCCTGGACGGGTCGCAAGTCCATCACAGGGACACATAGAGACAAACGAGACAAACAACCATTCACTCTCTCACTCACACCTAGGGGCAATTTAGAGTTACCAATCAGCCTAACATGCATGTTTTTGGTCTGTGGGAGGAAACCAGAGCACCCGGAGAAAACCCACGCATGCACGGAGAGAACATGCAAACTCCACCCAGAAAGGCCCCCGGACCGGGGTTTGAACCAGGGACCTGCTCGCTGAGAGGCAGCAGCTCTACCAGTTGCGCCACCGTGCTGCCTACATTATATTATATTATATTATATTATATTATATTATATTATATTATATTATATTATA